AGATATTGTCTGGCCAACGAGAAGTAGATATGTGTCACTAACGATAGTTTTTGATCGCCAGAAGTGCTACTGCATCATAAGGTGTTTTCCTAAATGAACTGATACGGGATAAATTCAATGGCGCTATGGATTCAGACGCCATTTATTGGACTATTAAGTTTGATAACTTGACTCGTGGGTACCTAAACGTTTAGTATTTTAATATTAATTTAATGCAAATGTATACATACCCAATAATATTAAACAGAAAAAATAAATATATTCAATAAAAATCTTTGTTTTAACGAAGTTAAACCGAGCCGCGACATTGTACAATGTCACAGCTCGGTAAATACGTCAACACTGAAACGAAAATCAGTCTGGCATAGGGAAAATCGGGGAATTACACAGCAAAATCGCAAATTGTGCAGAGGCATAAATTGAACCGGCGTAAACCGAGGGCTACCTGTATTGATAAATTGATTAGTCTTATGTTCAAGAATAGGTATTTGTGGGACATGAAAGACAAAAACTATCACAACGGAGATATTTCTCAGCAGAGATATCTCTCATTCTGAAATACTCGAAAAACTTTTGCGGGTTGTTCCACAAATCTTGATATGACATTTGGAACTCTCCCTTATCGTCTCTTGTGGAAAATAAGTGGTTAACATGCTCTGTTTTCCCACCACCTATCAACAATAACTTAATCAACGGACTTTCAAGAAATTAAAACTCATCAAGTTCGTCCATTTTTCTCGGAAGCAGAAACGTACTGACTATCAGAAAATGTGCATAGTGTAACCACCTTGTTCTGATCAGGATTTCGGACGTACTCATCAGAACAAAATTTCGTCAGAATTTGCATCCATAGTAACCATAGCCTACTGCGCGGCTTATTCTAATAATGAAAAACTATTAAATAAGTATATACAGGAATTGTCATCTACAGTTTTGAAATAATGCAATTTCCATCAATAATTGATTTTATGAAAATTTTACAAAACATTAAAAATAAATAAAAAAACTATGTTATAATATTTTGATTAGTTATAAATCACAAATTTCCTAACTCATTATTTCCTATAGAACTTTTGTTTTTTGCAACAGTAATTTTACCACTGTGCTATTTTTTTGTAAATATAATCTATGCACTTAATAAGAGATGCCTATACAAGGTGATTCAAAAGGTCTTAGACAAAATTTAAAGGTAGATCGGGAATACAAAAACAACCATTTTCACCTATGAACATACAGCCCCAAACACCGGCCAGAATTGCTAGAAGTACAGGAATATTCATGTAGAAAGGAAGACACATAAGAACATTTGGGTGGTGTTTACAGTCGACAGAAAAATACACAACTCCCATAAAAAGATTTGACTCCTTGACTCCGACTCTGACTCTCCATTCCTGGTTTACAGCTTTATGTTCCTAGGTAAAAATGGTTTGTTTTTTGCATTCCTGACCCACCTTTAAAGTTTGTCTAAGACCTTTTGAATTACTCTGTGTATATGAATCAGTAATACTGTATATGTGAATGTTTACTATAATTTTTTTATTTGTTAATATTTATTTATATCTCGTATGTATAGTAACTGATGACTATTCTATGATAAGAATGAGGAATTTCTCTGAAACACAAATTTGCAAAGCACTTGATTGTGTATCAGGATATATATATAAAACATCAAGCAGAAAACCAAATTTATCAACAAGAAATTAAAATTATACCATTTGTAAATTCACTTGTTTTACTCTTTCTTTTACAGAAAAATATGCTGACATTGAATTCAGAAGTAGAAATGAATAAATTAAACACAGTCCCCACTTTAAAGTTTACAATGGGTTTGGGACTAGATAATCAGGATGATACATACATATTTGATATAGTTGCAAATAGGTCAGTAATATCACTTTGTACTGCAAATTAAATAAATGACATTCTTCCGTTTGAAATTAATACATAACTTTGCATGTTTATCTTCAGTGATTCTCAATTAGCGGCTTCATATTCTGACAATACTATCAGTTTAATAGAATCAAAACATCTTCATGTAAATTATTCATGGAAAGGTGAGTTTTTTTACATATCAAATGAGAAATTTATCATAAAAAGGTGCGTTTTCACATATGAAATGAATATAATCATTACAATTAAATGGAATATTAAAATTTAATCAGTTTTTTTTTTTTTAAATCAAACTTTTTTTAAGCTCATAAAAAGAAGATTTCTGCTTTGAAGTTCAGTCCTATCAATCAACATCATCTATTTTCATCATCATTGGACGGATGCATTAGGTATTTTTGTTTTAATTCATATTGACATTAACTAAATGATAAAATTTATTAAACTTTTACGAAAGTACATATAAAATTTACTGTATTTTATTTAATAATTAAATTTTTGTTTTCTGTAATACTCTTCTTGTCTAGTCTTGTGTTCAATTATACTAGCTCTATGGCGGCTTTTCCTTTTTCGTTAGACTTATTACACCGTCATTCAGAAAGAGCAGTGGTTCTTAACCTTTTTATACTCCTGGCCCACCAAATATTTCATAATTTTTTTGTGACCCCCGTTGTTTTAATAATAATTTATATTTGTTAAATTATCTATAATAAATTGATTTTTTTATTATTGCTTTATTTTTTTATATAATAAATGTAANTTGCACGAAATCTATACCGCAATTACAGTTGAATTTTGACTTGTTGCAGCTCTTAAAATATAACATATAAGAAGCCCTTTCCTTATATCAGATAATTATAAACGTTAGGCCCTTCCTAGAAACTTTTAGTGCGCGATCCGTCCCGGATATATAGGCCCGTCCCTCATTATACGGCCTCTCCCGTTGTGGGCCTACACCAGGACCAGATTTACAAATACACTGCTGCTTAGAATGGCGCTTTATGTGTCTATAGTTAGGGCCTTACATTTTAAAATACGACATTATTTAGCGGAGAGAAAAGGCCTTTTATGTTACATGCAATGCTGGACACAAGTCTGTATAGTAATGGTCTGCACCCGTCAGTGACCGTACTGTATCCTCTTTGCAGCGATGATAATTAAATTAATTTTTTAAAATACAAATTAACTGAGATATTAAAATATTCTCTGAACGTGTTTAAGGCAAGGCCCATAGACAGTAGGTTTTATCGGATTCCATACTCGTTTGAAGAAAATCCTTTCCTTCTCCTCCTTTCCAACTTGATTTATTGTTCTGTGTGAGCAAAGGCGATTAAAGCAAGAAATGTATGAGCTGACAACATTAAAACTTTTATAAGTCTCCTATTTCTCTTGTAATTCGGTATTCTAGTAAAAATGTTATTCTAAAATACAACTGGGCACTATTAAATTAACAAGAAGATGCCATTTACAAAGATTTTGTCATCCCTGCGAACATTCTGGTGTTGAAAAATCCATCTTAAACCGAACTTGGATTGGTTTACCAGTAATCAAGTAGATAGAAATCATTGAACGGGTCATGGGTTCGCGTTTTTTCTTGGTTTTTTACGCATTTAACAGTTAAATAGGACCCAGTTTCAAATAGAGAGTGCCCACTGGTAGCTGAGTGATAAAACCACTATCGGTCGTGGGTTCGGGCCTCGCTAGTGGAGTTTTCCGTGTTTACTTCACATTTGTAACACCCAAATAAAATCAGTTTTCTATAGAAAGTCCTGGGAAGGCATCCACCCTCGGAAAATCTCTCACGCCGTATACAAATAAAATAAAATGGCGCTTTATCGAGGTTTGATGTATATGCATGTTTGTACAAGTACTTAAATATCCGTATGCAGAGCCTGAAAGAGATGAGATAGCATCCGAGGTAATCACAAATGTAGAGACTTACAAATGTTGTCATCCGTCCTTTATTTGCTAAAGACAGTCCTTATTTCAGTTGGAGTGTCCTTCCATTATTATTTAGTGATAAAATATCCTACCTAACAGCAAAATGAATAAAGAAAAGTTACCTAGTGTCAACCATATCACAGAGAAGCTTATGAAAAGAGCTTTTTTAGTATAGAGATTTTATAACAGGAGGATTTTCTAGGTTAATCAGCCTTGTTTAAATTGTTACACAAATGATGAAAACCCGTAAAACCCCTCACAGCCAACCAGTTGATGAGGTGCGAACACACAACTAACTATTAGTATTCGGCGGTGTTATCCACTCGAGCGCTTGGTAAACTGAATTTTGAATCGACTTGCTTACCTCATCTCTTCGTTATAATACTTAATGACCTGAAGACAACAATTACAGATTGTCTTAATTACTCCAATTATCAGTATAGAGGATGATGTCCAGAAAAAAGGGGGAGAGAGGAGGGAAAAACCTCTAAGTAGACCGTGTTTAGAGGTTTAATATCCACTTTATACAAGGTATTACTGTGCAGAAATCTTCAATAAACGTTATATTGAAGCAGATTAATTTATTAAAATGTATTTTACCGTATTTTATCTTCTTCATTATAACAATGAAATCAATAACAGTGAAATTTTATATACCCTCCTTTCATGTTTAAGCAACAAGTTAAATATAGAAAAGTCGATAAGAGGAAATGAATGACATAATAATATAATATTACGGATAAAATAATCTAAGTAAACATTCAATTTCATTTATAAATCAATCAAGATAAAGATCTGGATGTTGAGAACAAAAGAAAAGTGATGTGTTTATTTAAATTATTTTGCCAATTCTTTACATCCTCTTCCTGCTTTTATCAGACTAAAGATTTATCAGAAATGTAAATTTTCCTAATAAAGACTAAACAAACTTTCTCACTGATCAAACAATTTAATTTTAATGGAACTGTATTTATATAATTTACTATAAACAGAAGAATGTCCTTACACTGTACACATCACACTGTATCTGAATAGGAGATGACTTGAAAGGTTAAAATGCTTTCATGTAAGATTTTATACATCATAAATATAGTTGTGTATAGCTTCTACCACATAATTACTCTATTTTTCATAAGTTAAAACAATAAAATATGCTGTTTTTTAAGAGATTTTTGTGATTTTTGAGACCTACCTACAACCTACGAGTGAATGAAACTGTTAGTCGTGGGTTCGAGACTCATTAAAGGGCTGGTCGTGAGGAGTTTTACGCGTTTTTTTCACGTGTTTAACACTTGCTTCTTCAATCTACACCTTTGCACTTGACCCTCATTCTGTATCTTTACATCATCTTTGTACTTGTACCTTTACATTATCTATGCACCCCTCTGTACCTCTTCACCATCTACTTGTACCTTTATTCTGCTTCAGACACCGGTAAAAAAAATCATATCATGCTATGAAATATGACACCTTTTTAATGAATAATTCACCTTTTCTGATAGAGTTTAATGTAAAAATGTTTTTGTATTCTTAACATTGTTCTATACCTTGTAAATTTCTTTATCTTTCAAACAATTTATAAAAAATCGGGTTTTAATTTTATATTAAGATGCCACAGATACAGTACATAATATGTTCTATTAAATTTAATAAAAATTAGATTAGTGGCATGGCACTAATGTCCATGGGTCAATTATGTTCATTAGCGGAGGGTCTGACCCGCAATGGGGTCAGGTATCCTTCAATCCACTTTAACCGATTCTATATACCTCATTTTTTATAGCTATAAAGTTCGAAATTCTCTTATAAATACAATAAATATATATAGAATTTCATAGTGTTGTAAATATTACACTTTCCTTTCAAGTATTCAAAAATTGTGAAATTGATAAAGTGTGGAAAGTGTCATTTAAATTTGTAATGTACGGTACACAAAATAAATCATCCATTATTCAATTGTGGATGTATTAAAATATTTTACACTTAAAAATATGAAATTACGGAAATACTCCATTCGTGTTTTGTGTGACATTTTGACAACTATAATATATCATATTCTGTTATTCAAGATTATAGAAATATATATGTACTGCACACTGCGTATGAATGATAACAGTAAATAGAACTGACGGCCGGATGATAGAGGCAGTTGAGATGCTAAACTTCTACTCTGGGAGTTCCGAAATCTGTTCTGAATATCCAGCCGCACCTATTGTGGACCTGTCCAAGCCCATGAATGGATAAGAGGTCTTGTTAGTGTCCACCAGGCACTAAGAGGACCTCTTATCCATATACCGACGAACTATCTAGAGAATCTCTCAGAGTGGTAGATTGACACCCGAACTACTCGGCTTCCCGGCCTTGTTGTTTCTATTATGAAACCATATTCAGGTCTATATAAGAACCACAAAGTCTACGAGTGAGATTATGACGTAAGAATATGTCAATGACAAATTAAATAGACGATAGATGAGCTTGGATCCATTTAGATAAAGTAATCGACTAATGGAATCACTAAAATCATTTTCGTTAAGAGGGCTTTTTCAACAAGCGCATTATGAATGCGGTCTAGCCCACAGTGAGACGGCCCGGTGGTGAGAGACGGGAATCAACATATAGACTACACCCCGAAAAGTTTCTGTGGTTTTTTTTTTTTTAAACTCGTCCACCAGAGGAGTGGGCTGCTACCATAACCACCCGGCCATCAGGCCAGAAAAATTTGATCCAATTAGAATTGACAGCGTATACAAACGTTTAAGGAAAAGATATATCAGAAAAATAACATGAATCTTGGTTATAAAATATTTAAAATTGTTTAAAATAAATTAATTTTATATATTTTTAAAATTTTAATTAAAAGTGATTAATTTAATTTTCTATAATTTCATTAGATATTACATTAATTTAAAAAAAAGCAGATGGCGCTGTTCAATTCGTCTCGATTCCACGTGGTTTCAGTATCTGTTATGTTTGCTCTGATATATTTTTATATTTGTTATTCTTACAGGTTTGTATAAGTTTTATGTTCTTTATATTTTTAAATATGATTCCAGGATTGAATTATTTAATTATTAAAATTACGTTTTACTTAGTGTTTCGAATAATAATTAATTGTTTATGAAATGATCGATTATTTTCTTATAGTGATAAGAAAAAATCTAAAAGATGCAGTATAAATTTTTCTCTTTAGTACAAGTGTACAGAAGTTAATACAGAAATAATAAATTGACGATGACATTTTCAAACTACAGTGGTACCTCGGTATACGTCTGCTTTAGAATACGTCCAATTCGGAATACGTCCTGTTTGGACGAAACAAATTTTGCTCGGTATACGACATAATTCAATTAGCGACAGAAAACTAAAAAAATGACTAGAATTACAATAGAACTGATAAAAGAGATTGTTGAGAAATACGAAGGTGGCACGTGTGTTCGAGATTTTAACTGTT